ACAGCTAAAGATTCAACAAATCCAACTTCAGCTTTTTGTTTTTGGACACTTAAAATTTTTACTATTATTACTTAGAATAAAGTCATTCCAGAATACTCAAGTTCCATTTGCATTGTTTCAATGGAAATGAATTTTCAAGCTGGATCTACAAATCTTCAAGTAGGTGTTTTTTTTTTTTTTTTTCCTCTGGTAGATCTGTGAAGTCATTCACCAGCAAATAACAAGTTGTGGCTGTGGGAGAAGTGGCACAGGGGTGGGCTAAATCACATTTCTTGTGGGTGATGCAGAGACCTATTCAGTTCTCCTTTTCTCCCCACCACACTGACATTTTCAGAATCAAAATAAAATACACTCATTATTTTACACATAACGCACTACATTTTGCTCCCTTACAGCCTGATGCTCATTGAGAGTTTTCTCAATATAATTCTTCTATGTGCAAATAGATCACAGCAGTCTGACAGTAGATACAGAAATGCCATCAAATTATGAAATCCTTTATCACTCCAGGCAAAAACGTTACTGCAGAACTTCAGCTGAGTCATGCAACACGTAGTACAAGGGTCTAACTAGTCTTTAATTGCAGAAGCTTTAGATTAGTTTGTTACAGGTGGGTAATAGATAAGGAAATTAATTTATACGGGTAAGATCTGTATGAAAGAAAAGCCTTTATTGAAAAGATACATGCTGGACTCCCACTGAGAAGAACCAATTAGAAGATCAACAAAAAGAAAGATTCTTCCTGTGTTTCCTTTAAAATGAGTGAAAAACCAAAAAGTTTTCCATAGCAGATTTGCTCTGAGCCTTTCCCTGCTTCCCACCCTTTTCTTCCAAGCAGGGATCTATGTTTCCCCACTGGCTGCACAGGGCAGATACACATCAGTCACAAAATAGCAGAGACCAGATCCACCAACAAGGTAAGCTTTAGAGGCAGACACAGCTATGCAATGCCCAACTGCTGGCTGCAGAACTAAGCTGCTGTCAGTAAGAAGTCAGTATTTTCCAGAAAACCTCTTCAATTCCTCATGTAAGGAAGGCTTTAATGTTAGGATATGTGTATAGATGCAAGACACGAAAAAGGTCAGGTAATTCTTAGGACATTCATTTATTGTGGGTGATGAGCAGAAAAGCACTATTGTAAGGCAGATCTGAGTGAGACAGCTGATATTAACTGAACAGTACAGTTAGAACAGTTAACTCAGTACCACAACAGCAGCTAGTCTGAAGATGTATTTGATACACAGGACCATTACATCTCGTTTCCTCACACAGGGATGCGCAGTGGCATCAGAGGGTCTCCTTTACCTCCTCTACAGTGACATTCAACCTGAAGGACCCCGAGCACACAGCCCAGTCCCTGCCACTCAGCACACACATCTAATCATATGAGCACATGGATGCTCCACTGCCTTATGAGCTATTGTGGAAGGAGCTCTGTTGAACAAGGTTCTAGCACACTGATTTCTAGTATCAATTAATCAATTAATCTATTTAGACGTGTACTGTGCCTTTGCTTCAAAAAATTGTTCTCTTTAGCACATAAGAATGATTCCTTTAAATAAGATCAATTTGAAAATGGCAATTTGCTCAACTTAAAAGTTTGCTCATAACAAGGTCTCCCCATCATGCACCATCCTGTGAAGGATAAGGGATCCCTATGACATCAGATAAGGATCATTATGTTTCTATGCACAAATGTTCCAACTACAACTTCATCTCTGGCAATGGACTCACACTTCAGTGATTATCATTATTATAAAGCCAAAGTGAATTAATTTCAGAAAGACAAACCACGTTTAGGAAGGACAATGCAGTCAAGTAAGGAAAATGATGTGACCTTCCACAATTATCTGAAGCTGTATTGCTAGCTAGTTACTGATTGCACAGGAAATTGTTCTTAAGGCTGTGCCATAGATGTTAAGGGAGTAGCGGAGTTAGACATGGACCTGTTGAAGTCCAGAGGAGGGCTACAAAAAGGATCCGAGGGATGGAACAACTCTCCTAAAAGGACGTGCTGAGAGAGCTGGGGCTGCTCAGCACAAAGAAGAGAAGGCTTTGGGGAGACCTGAGAGCAGCCTTTCAGTATCTTAAGAGGGGCTAATAGGAAGAAAGGGGACAGACTTTCAAGCAACATCTGTGGGGACAGGACAAGGAGAAATAGCTTACAGCTTTTTACATTGAGGGTGATGAGGCACTGGCACAGGTTGTCCAGAGACATGGTGGAAGCCCATCCTTGAAGAATTCAAGGCCAGGCTGGACTAGGCTGTGAGCACTCTTATCAAGCTGTAGGTGTCCCTATTCATTCCAGGGAAGTTGGACTAGATGGTGCTTTAAAAGTCCCTTCCAAATCAAATGACTCTACGATCGCTTTTCTTAACCAAGAGCATTTTGTTTTTCTCCAAGACGTTTAACATAATTTCTGTGTAAGAACACTTATAAAAAAAAAAATCATGTACAGCCACCAAATCATGACCCATTGCATCCATCCAGACTCCTGAGATGCATCCAGCAGAAGCAAGATTTTTTTCTCTAGCAACAGAACTAAGTTTCTCTTAGGTCGTGAAGAACAGTTAATGACAATGCTGTAGCTATCTGGCTAAAAGAATATGGAACCCACAGTGTGTTTCAGCTGGTGTCCTCCAGGAAGGGAGTCAAAGGGAAGAAGTGAAACATTAAAATAGTAATTACAATCAAACCAGTGACAGGAACACATTCCCTTGGCACTGAACTTGTTGACTCTGTCGGAATTACATAGTCTTCTGAGGTCATTTTGTTAAACATGTGAGTAAACTATCTAACCACAGATGAATATATTCTGGTGTCATCCAAATAGAAGCAGTTATTTTTCCTATTTATGCTTTGTGGCTGTGCTGCTTTACTTGTGTGTAGTTACAGATTACAAGGCACATCTGTCTGGCTGCTGTAGGTAGCCTACATGTTTAATGCTTGGTCCTGCAGGCTGCTGAGCATTCCTCATCTGGTAAGCCATACATGCTGTTTACTGATTGACCCACTTAGTTATGGTTACACATGCCTGTGAGCAGTGCTAATCTGAAATCACATTGCTAGGCAATCCATGTGTAAAAGTTCTTCTCAAAAAGCAGCAGAAAGTGCTGATTGCTACCACTCTTCATTTGTGAAGGAGTTGCTGAATGTTTCTGATTAGATCAGCTGGGTAATTTCAATATCTGTGTTGAAGGTCCCAATATCAAATGATGCATCTCTACTACTGTGAGCAGTAGGATGACTTAGATTAATGCCAAAGATGTCTTTATTGCTTCTGTACCAAAGCATGTAGTAATCATATTCAGTGCTATGCATCTTTTATATGTTCTAGTTCATGGGTATTCTGCCTGTAAAATTAATGGATATTGGTTTCAGCAGCACAGCTGCATATTTCTAGCAAGTTCTAATTTTTGTAATGTCAAAACTTGAAAACAATAGTGTTTTCAAGTGTGCTCAGTAATGTTAGCAATGTTATTCACTACACACAGATGATTTAAAACATTAGAAAAAAAAACAGAATAAAGGGATGAAGAGAAAGGTCTCCAGTTTCTCAGTTTTCTCAGCATTACATTTTCAATAATAGGGAAAATAAATTAGAAAGCTCAGTCTGAAGGAGCTATGAGGAGCTTGGGACCAAACACACACATGTAAGCTGTTCTTGTTTTTGGATGAGTGTCTTACTATGGAATGTGTAAATGGTTGCCTGATAAGTACGTTTAATGCCTAGTAAAGACTTTCTACCTTATAACAACAGCACATTCATGTAATTTAGGAATTCAATCCTTAATTCATATTGCATTTTAAGATATTAATTCACATTTGAGTTGTGACAAAGTTAATTCCCTTTGAAAAACGGTGTTGACTTTGAGATTCTAGGCATCTAGAATGCCCCAGTGCCACAAAAGCTACAGAATGCTTTTAATGCTATTAAATGGAGCAGGAGTGCCTCCAAAATGTTGACCTAGTCTGATGTTAAGCCTGTATGCAATGTCTGTTACATGATGTTATATCAGCAATGGTGAAAGAGATCACTGCCTACCAATAGGTGAAATTAAAAAAGAGTTTATATATAGCTTTCTAGATGACAATGAATAATTTCAATGTAACATTTGATAAAAGAAGCAGATGAAAAACTCAGCAGTTTAAAAAAGCTTAACAGACATTTGATGTATGTATGCGAATGAAGAAATTCAGTAATACTTCAGGGAATTTCCTTTCATAAAGCTCTTTCAGTATCTAACTCAAATGTAAGAATTAATGGCAATTCAACTGCAGAGCCTTAATGGCCTAATCATTAATTTGTATGGGAGTTACTCTAATAACAATTAGAGAGAACTGTTGTTAACGTGAGGGCAGTGAGCATGTCTTTGAAGTAATAATCCAATTAACATGCATTAAGTGGAAATTTTATGGAATTATCCTGGTACTAGTGGATGCTGCTGTAATTTGGAAAGTGTTTCATGGCATTAGGTAACAAATCTCTAACAGCTGCTGACTCATCAGCCTGGCCTGTGAGTTCATCCCCAAAATTTGGGGCTGGACATGTATGGTTGGTACAGCTCTTCATAACCTACCCCACAATTCAACATAATTCATTTTGCAGGCTTACCTTGGTTTACTGTACATCTATATCAATGAATCTATGTAATCCTACAGCGTTCCTGGCTTTGAATGTTCATGTGATATGCCTTCTATATAGATGAGCAGTAACCCTCTGTTCTAAGGCACAAATCAATGAATGTATTAGATGTCAAAAACTATTTGCGCTAATCTGACGGCCTGGAAGAGGAACCTGCACCAGTTGAACTTTTGGGCAATTTTCTGCAGTGCCCAGTATGTTTCAGTCAGCCTTGAAGAGTTATTTACACAGAAAGTTATATTTGTAAGTATCAGGGTTACTGACTAAGGTAAAAGAAATATTCGGATGACTTTTGGTTTAAAAAAAAATAAAAAATTCTGTACCACACATTAGAACAAGTTTCTTGACATTGTATGCAAAGAGAAGTAGAAAGCATTGCCTGAAACAAGATAGGCACATAGGGGCAAACTCAAGCAAGGAGAAGGTATAGTTCTCAACTTGCTCTATGTTAGCATTAGTATTGTATGAATGCAATTAAAAAGATCCTACTGTTATAATGAGAATACAGGTTTTTTTGGTAATACATTAAGTGAATTAAGCTAGAAATAACATATAAAAACACTTTTGATCAGGCAGCCTATAGCGGATACAGTGGAGCCAGTTGATGGAGCCTTCTTCCTCCAGCTACAGGAGGCATTAAGATTGCAGGTTTCATTCTGTTAGGGGCCTCGTACCCCTCTGACATCTACTGGAAAAGGAGCATGGTAAGCTGTAGGCAATGCAAGAGGCTCCTAAGGTGTAGAGAGGACAGCTTTCTGAACCAGGTAATATATAACCTCACTGGGGAATGCAATGCTGAATATGTTGCTTACCAACATTGGTGAGCCTATTGGCAGCATCAAAACTGGAAGCTACCTGGGCTCCAGTGACCATGCAATGGAGTTCACACTCTTTGGGAATATGAGACAAAAAGCAAAATCAGAAAGCTTAATTTTAGTAAAGCCTGCTTCCAGCTCTTCAGGGAGTCACTCAACAAAATGCTCTAGGAATCTGTCCTCAAGGACTAGAGCTATAAGATCATTAAGTAAGCTTTCTGCAGGGCATAAGAATCCCCCAAGAGTAAGAAGTCAAAAAAGGAAGGCAAGAGGCTTATGTGGATGAACCAGGACCTGGTAGTCAAACCACAGAAGAAGAAAACACACAGGCTGTAGAAGCAACAAGAAATACCCTGGGAGGAGTACAGCAGTGCCCCTGGGCTGTACAGGGATAGGGTCAAGAAGGCTAAGGCCCAGCTAAAACTAGCTAAAAGGGCAAAGAAAAACAAGAAAGGCTTCTAGGGGCACCTAAACTAGAAGAAGCAAGGCTGAGAGTGCAACTCTTCTTAGCAAGCATAATGCAATAGAACATACAGCAATAACAACACAGTAGCAAAGCCATAGTCTGCAACAAGTAAGGACTTGCTCAAATACAACAGCTGTAGACATAAAAATAGTGGAAAAACTCTGCTTACATTCAGAAAGCCTCACACACACACAGAGAACTCCAGCAAAATGCTTTTGCCTCCACTGTCAGCCCTTCAACGAGGTCTGGGAAGGGGTGAATCCTGGCTCCACCCCTCTGGTCACTCAGTACACTGCATGCATCTGAGCTTCTCTGAGTGGTCCCTGCCTTCCCACCAGGTGCTCAATCACTGCTTCAGGCCACGACTGAGCATTTCTGCTACAGCAAGCCATGCAGGCAGGCTGGTAACAACAGACAATGAGAAGGCTGAGGTATTATATTATGCTGTGACATGTTTCCTGCAATTGTCTGTGTTGAAAGTTGGCTTTAATAAAGAAGCCTCCCCAGCCATTTAGGGGATTTAGATAGGACTTTATGTTTGTGTATTGAACTTAATACTTGGGCTACTTGCCAGAAGCAAGTATAGGCCCTGTAGGAAAAAGTGACTGACAGGGACTAGGATAAGTATAATTAGTGCAACTGCAAGCAAGATCTGAAAGGCCTCTTGCCTTTTTTTATTATTATTGACTGATTCCAATAACTCCCTACAGTAGCTTTAGCATTCAAGGGAAACAACAATGCAAAAGCTTACAGATCAATTTGCTGGTTTTTAACCATGCAGTGGTGCAGTTTATGCAACAGGTTGTAAAGAAAACCTTGCAAACTTGAAACTTGGGTTGTGGGGGAACTGTCAGGTCAGGGCTTGAAGCTGGTAACTGAGCACCTGGTGAAGGGGTGTGACTGCCCAGGGAGCACAGTCAAATTGTGTGCAGCTGTGCTCCCCAGGAGACCAGAAGGGCAGGACTCAGAGTAGAGAACCCTGGGCTCATATAAGGGCCAGCTACAGGAAGTGAGTGTCTCTTGGGTCTGGGCTGCTTTCTGAGAAGATGTGTTGTTGGAGATCTCTTTCGGTAGCTAGGTGAGTTTAACTTTTCTTCCTGTACATATCTCTTAGCTATCTGCAACTTCTTTATCTGGTGTTGCTAAGAACCTGCCACAAGCAATTTTCTTTCTTTGTGAACAAAATGCTGGCCTGTGTGAATCTAATGAGGTTTATCATGACCGAGTGCAAGGTTTTATACTTGAATTACAGTGTTCCTAAATGTATACAGAGTAGAAGAACTCCTAGGGAATAGCAATGGTGAGAAGGGATGAGGGGTCCTGGGGCATGAAGGGCTTGATGTTGCCAATGTACACTTGCAGTCTGGAAGGCAAGGTGTGCTCTGGGTTGTATCAGAGGGCAGGTGGCCAGCAGAAAGGGAACTGTTCCATCTCTGCTTTGTTCCTGTGATGCCCTGCCTACAATACTGTGCCTGGGCCTGGAGAGAGATCTCCATGGGATCACTGAAGGGAGATGGAGGGAGGTGGGCTTCTCAGTGTGGAGAAGGCTGTGTGGAGGCCTCGTTATGGCCTTCCAGTATCTGAGAGGAGCTTATCAGCTAGAGGGACATGTCTTTTTGCTTTGGTAGCTAGTAATAGGATAAGGGGGATTTAAAGTAAACAGTGAGAGATCTTAAGTTAGATGTTAGGCCCAAACTTTTTATTCAGAAGATGGCGAGACACTGGAATAGGCTGTCTGGGGGTCTTATGGATGTCCCAACCCTGGAGGTGACAACTAACAGGAAGCAAAGCCGGGCCTGTATGTGGGTGCTCTGTGATGTCACTGGAGGGTTGCTGTCACACTGTGACCTCACAACAGAGGCAGTGGCTGTAAAGTTCCTCTCTGTAAGGGGCAGCCTCCAGTGAGCCAGCTGAGCACCTCTGTGCTGGGAAGGCTGTAGATGTGAGCCAGGGGGTGCAGGCAGATGGCAGAGGGCCCTGAGGAGGAGATGGGCCCTGTCTGTCTCTGCCAGTGTTATCCCCTGTGGGCACACCTACTGCAGGGCCTGCATCCAGTGCTGGGCTGCAATGCCATCAGTTTGTTGCGGCCATCCTGAGCCTCACACCAGGCTCCTGGAGGACGCCTCGACCCACACTTGAACCTTGGAGGTAATGTAGAAGAAATAACTGCCTGCATAATGGTATGTTCTGTGCAAATTCACTAAGCAGAGTTAATTCAAAGATGTTAGATGCTCATCTGAAGTAGCAGCAGTTATGCATGGCTTTCAGGAAAGTTACTGCCTTTGAGTGATACTCAGATGGAGTTCTGCTGTGCTGACCTAACTAATATGTGCAGTCTAATCACTCTATTTACCCAGCTGTGCACCTAAACCTGTAGGTTTCTGTCTCAAGCTGTCTAATGAAGACAGAATCTGGTCTGCAATGGGTTCAGGTGTCAGCTGTGTACTGGTATTGATTGTAAACACCTGCTGAAATAGATATTTGGATGCAGGAATGTAAGGACTTCGAGACTTATTTGAAAATAGTAGTGACTCAGCTTCATCACTGTGGATATTTATTCATTAGTTCATCCTTTTTCCAGTGTTACTGGCCTAGTAGTCTGTGTAATTCTTTACTAATTTGTGTTCATGCAGATCATGTCTTTCCATTCCTGGCACAGTGCGCTACCTCTGGATAATCCGTAGGTTAAGTTAGCACTGATATATTTCTAGTAGTAGGCACTTGCATCTGTTTCCTCAAGTCATATTAACATCATACGTTGGGAGTTTTTTGCTCTTGACTAGCTTATTAGTTTCAGGATGAAGCCTTATATTAAGGATGGTAAGAGTCCACTAGCATCATTTTCTTGCTCTTTATTTCCTTCTTTCTAATAGCTAAATGACCTCATGGTTGTTCCTATGGTTTAGATAAAAATATATAAGCTTTCCCCCCCCACACCTTTAGATCCAGTGCAATACCTTAAGCTATACTGTTCTGGGCTCTGTCATGGTCTGAAACTAATTATTTTCTGTGAAAACATGAAGTCACTTCATAGATACTTTGGTTACTAGAGCTTTTGAATGAATTGAGAAGGAATGAAAGCATAGTTTTCTCCTTGCTCTGCATTTGCCACTCTCCCTGGGATGGGAACTCCATTAAATGGTTCAAGGTTGGGACTAGCAAGACTTCTGATCATATTCTATACATTCTAATAACCATGCTGGTCTTAAGCCAGGCACCATAGTCTAGAGAGCTCTCCTCTGCCTCAATACAGATAAAAGATTAGTTTTATATGTGGAAATATATAGAGTTAAAAACTTGGCAAATCAGAAATTTGATATCAAACTTAACTCACTTCTGCTGTCCCTTGCCATCTGGGTATGAATGATGTGAAGAAGGAGAAAAGATGAAGGGTGTTGGGAAAGTCATTAGATTTAAGTCTGTATGTGATATGGGACTTGCTGGTTGGAGTTGATGTGACTGATAGTATTTGTATAAGCATAGGACTAAAGGCTACAAAAAGATGCTTGTGATTATACACCTGCTGAAATTACTGGTGGGAGTATCAAATGTGTGCAACAACCTTGACTAGACCAGGAAAGCTGACTGACTGAATCTGTTCTCACCTGCTCTGGCTTGGAAAGGTCTGTTTTCTGGTCAGGTTCTCTAGTACTGTTTAATCTTCAGGAGTTTGAGTCAGATTGCAAGTCTAATCCATCTTCCCTAAAACAGTGGCTGGAGGAGTGACTGAGTCACCTGCTTGCTATGTTCACCAAATTCTGCCAAATAGTTGGCCAAAATTTTTATTATTTTCCTCATTTCATGAGTGGACTTTGCATCATGTCATCTTGTCGCATAAAGTGGTAGTTTACTGGATACAGAACTCTGAACGTGTGTCTTGAAGTTCTTCTGAAGTCTTAGCAAATGGTACAATCTGGGCAGTGGCACAAATTGTTTTATATAGGTGTTATTTCAGAGAAACACCTTCATGTGACTTGGGTAGTGCTGTATGTTCTGGCAAAGGAGCATGTGTGCTTTGCCATATTGGTATGACAGATGTTCATCTGCAGAATTGGTGAAACATCTTTCTATAAAAAAAAAAACTTGCTTGCATGCTTACCAGCACGTTCGTTTGTCCTCAAAGGCAAATAAGGATCCAACATCTTTGATGCAGAGCTATTTTTGTCTTTCTCTGCACAGTTCTAAAAAGACATTGTGTTTAAAACAAAAAATGCTGTCAAAGGCTGCAGCCAGCCATTAATATGAATTACTCCCTATTTAAAGATTGCACCAACAATCAGTTAAGTCAGTTCTGTGGGACTGCGGCTGTAGGTCACTTGCTGATGATGGCAGAAATGTGATCTTGAAATGACATCAGCTTCTTATGTATTAGATAGGGTCTGGCTGAATACATCTGGAATCTGCATTGGTCAAGGCAGTCCCATTACAATGCTGCAGTGAGTTTCTGCAGTATTATCTTTTCTATAATGAGGATAGGAGAAAGGAACTTGTAAGTAAAGCTCTAGATTCCACCACAGGAGGTGGGAATGGATTTGCACCCCCAGGCAGTCTTTTGCAGAGAGGGGCTGGTGTTATTGGTTAAGGTAGCACATTTGCCACTGCTATCCCAGGACAATGGAAGTATTAATTGTCTCTTTAGGACAACAAAGCCCATACTGAGGCCTTCTGTGTAAGGCTAATAGGTTAATGGAACTGGATTCTCACTTAATAATAGACTCTTTCAGATGAGGAAGGTGACTGCTAGTACAATTCTGCTTGAGTATTGATAGAGAGGTCAAGTTTACATCATACTTAGTAACGTGTGTCTAGTTGGGAGTATCCTCATCACAACTCAGTAACCCTCAGTAAAAGAGGTACAGGCAAAAGGGTGAGCAGTTATGATTTTATCTATATAAGCCTTGCCTATTTGGAAATGCTGTTAGTGGCAGTTGGTGATCTACTGAATTTATTCCCCAGCGTTCTGTTTTACCTGTGATAACTACACAGTAGTTGTGTGTGTACTGACAAGATGTTTATAGCCAGCCACAATTCTGCCAAGTCTGCTAAGACTTTTCCTGCTGGTATGTATTGAGTAGCTTAGGTTTGTTGAAGTCAATCCAACCTTGTCTTTGTCTGGACCAGTACCGGAGCCATTGTCTACTAGCAGGGATCAACAGTGAGTCAGGTTGTGGAAACTGTCATTCGCTGCTTCTCTTT